AGAAAAAGGTTGCAAGAAGATAAAAATTAAAATTATGGTCAGAAAATAGACAGCAGTCCCATCAAAATTATTCTGGAGTGTTGCCAAAAATCCAGATCCTCAGAATCTCAGTTCTTCCAAAGCCATTTTGATTTTTTTCCAGCCATCCTCTTCTTTGGCCTTTCCCATCTAATCTCAAATTTAATTACGTTTCCATGTAGYCTTAATTTGGTTCTCATGAATCGAGTTTAATTTTCATTTTAAGTGAAGATTAATTGAGATTGGAACTGATCGATAAATATTATTAGGTCTTTTTATGTTTAAATTTAGACCTGGGATCTTTTAACAAACTACAACTTTTTGATGGGTACAAAGGTAACATAAATCTATTTTTTTCTTATTATATTTTATATTACATTTGGATATTGAGTTTCATTTGAATTAGGTTTATTTTTGTAAAATTTCAAATTTTTGCCATTTATGAAAATACATATTTATTTTATATATTCAAGTAAATACCTCTTTTTATTTTCTATTTCAATCTTTACATTAATATATAATGTTTTTTTTTTACTTTCTATACATTAGGAAAAAAAAAACATAATAGAGTGGGGTTTCTTATTTTTTAATAAAATATTTATTCTAAAAGAAAAAGATATTAGATTTATAAGAGTAGAAACAAAGTCTTATATTGGCTAGGGAAAATATCATGAATATGTACATGAGGGACAACATCATTGAAACTGAGATCTTTTGGATGAAATCAAAAGTAAAGCCGTGAAAATTATGCTAAAAGCAGACAATGTCATATACTATTGTAAAATTATGCTTGTCCGGATGGTCTCCCAAACGTAAGAAACAATCATATTAGAAGGGAAATATAATAAAATAAAATCACTTTGAAATATGACAATGAATTAAAACCACTACCAAAAAAATTTCAGGAGTTACAAAAAAACTTCAAGCTCAATAAAAAGTGAGCTTTGAATAATTGTACAAAAAGAAGGATCAAAAGAAAAAAAAAAGTGAGAAAAGATGCTCAATTTTTTTGATTTTATGTCACAACTCCTAAAAAGGAAAAGAAAAAGTTCAAATAATATTTTGGTATATATATACCTTCGACTTTGGTTTATTTAGTCTCAATACTCTCAAAACGTCAATCTTAGTCCCTAAATTTCAATTTATAATTTTAATTTAAAGTATTYATTTTGGTCTCTATACTCTTAAAAGTCACTATTTTGATCTCTAYTT